CTATATATGTAGATATATGTATTTTTTAAGGCATATAATATATATATATGTATATATTATAATATAATATATATATATATGTACATATATTTCATATGCCTTAAAAAAGGCAAAAATATCTATTATAATAATAATATAATATGAAATCAATCTTCTTGTTACATGTATATGGTATATATATGTTTGTGTGTGTATATATAGATATAAAATAATAAAACAGAAAGGGAGACACTAGAGATCAGAGAATGTAGAAAAAAAAACTTCAAAAGACCCTTAAACCAGAGCAGCTGAGGAAAAGAAAAAAAAAACATGAAAGAGCCATCACTGTAGGAGCGATTGCCTGCATGCTGCCAACTGTCACATAATCTTCTTCTTTGTGGCGGCTCTGCAGAAAGGTGCTGGGAGCAGAGGATTGTGGGAAGGTAGGAGGCTGCGCGACTGAGTTGGCCATTAGAGCGAGCCGAACCAACAGCGTCAGCTAAAAAAAGCAGGATGAAGATGATGATTTCACATTAAAAACACCCTTCAGATTGAGTGTGTGCGGATTGTGTGTGTGTTTGCGTGTGTGTGTGTTTGACCTTGTAAGAGGAGGTTTGGTTTTATGAACAGAGGAGAGAGAAAGGAATGAAAGATTGAAATGCACTGTAAGACTGCGGCGGAAAAAAAAACCCACCATGATGCAACGCGTGAGGAAAGATGGAGTATGTAGGTTTAAAAAGCTATATATAGAATGATAGGTCTAAAACCATTATAATCCCGTAAACATGAGATAGAAGGAGAGAAAAACGACAATATGGAAAGAGAGAAATGTGAGGAAAGAAAAGCAGAGCAGGCGGAGGAGGAGAGGAGGCGAGCGGAGAACCTCATTAGCAGAGAATCAGTTGGATAGGAAGATGGTAGATGTGATCATTAGCGCCAGGAGGGATCAGACATCGCTGTACGCCACTGTTTATCCTCCCACTTCTACACCAACACTGTGTGTGTGTGTGTGTGTGTGTGTGTGTGTGTGTGTGTGTGTGTGTGTGTGTGTGTGTGTGTGTGAAAGAGAGAGAATGTTTCAGTGCAGAGTGCAGAGGATGAAAGGGCTCATGGGTAAAATCTTTTCGGCTCCCTCCCTCGCTGCTTGTCACTTACTTCTTTTATCCCTTGTCTCCATTTTTACCCCCCACCGCCCGCTCATCTCCCTGCCGCAAAAACAACCCTTCTGAAAACGCTGCCACTCGAAACAAAAATGTGCTGGAACATTTTCCGATGCAAAATTAGACTTCCAAATGAAATTTAAGGCATCGACGAGCGCTAAGGAGAGATATTTTTTTGTTGGCAAACAGTTTTCAAACCTTTTACAGCCCAAACTGACGCCCTGCTGTAATCACAGACTGGAGATCAAGGGGAAAAGAGGAATCTCCGTATAAATGTTTCCATCTGTTGGAGACTTTTATCCAAACTACACCCAAAAAATGTGAATATTGGTTCACGTATGTTTAGTAAATAATGTGAATGTTCATCAAAACCGTAACAGGTCATCATAAATCATCCAGCATATACTGGAGTGGTTAGTACAGCGTCGGTATGGAAAACTGAAGCGGATGATATAAGACAAAAAACTGATTTATGATTAGATTTGAATTTACCATGTTACTTTCAATTGCCAACTTAATCATACCACCATGGAGTCTCTGTAAAACTGCAGTATATAGCCTGCGTTTGAAGTAAGCATGACTTAAAAAAAAATCAGTCATTAAAAGAGTTTGAACATCAATTTGAAATATACATTAAATATGATAATCTGATTATATATAACATTCTTGTGATTTCAAACAAAGCCCCCAGCTCTAAGGGCTTTCTGCTATTAAAGGTAAGTTGAGCTCAACAGAAAATAAAGCGTCTCAGCCTCAGCAGTGTTCACACTTTGTTAGCACTTTGCTCTTCTCATTAATCTACACAGGGCTGCAGATTGTAGCAGAGCCTCTGATAGCAGCAGGGCGTAAACAGGCGTGTTGAAGGAGCCTCGCTGTGTACGTGCCTCACACTAACAACCCGCCGATCAATAGACATGGACTACAAACTTCCACTTGTTCTGAAAGAAAAGACAAATGAACAAAAGAGAGAAAAAAAAACGCACCTGTTAATCCCACAAAGAGACAGCTCACAAACAAACACTCACAGGGGAAAGATAATTCTCTAATATTCAACTTGAAGCAGCGAGAAGTGAATATGTGACGCTGTCTGCAGGTTTGAAGTCGCTCGTATTATCGGCTCCCGCCTAATTTTCTATTTCTATGTAAATTCATCTTCCGCCTCACTGAAAGCTGCGGTGCAGAGAGCAAGCTGTGCAGCGTGGCAACAAACCGCTGCATCAAGGCCGCCGCCGCGCAGATGATGTTCGGCTTAAAACTCCAGCAAAGGGGAGGGAAGGAGGGGTGGGGGGTAAAGCTGGGAAGGTAATTGGAATAGCCTTGGCATTTTTCTATTGTAAGTTGAATTGATCCCTCTCAGTTTGGATTTTTCCTTTCTTCTTTTCTTCCTTTTCTCAGACAGAAAACAAAAGAAAATGGTGCATCAGTTTTTCTTTTCTCCCAGTTTGTTAAATCGATCACCCCCTCTCTCCCTCCCTCTCTTTCATTTTATCGTCCTCTTTTCTTTATCAAGGCCAAGTCTTTTTATCTGTTCAGTCCTCCCTCCTCCTCTCTCTCCAGCCCACACTCTATCTTTCTGCTCTCAATATGAATATTTGTCGTTCAGGCAGAGAGGAGATAGCTGTGGAAGCTTTGTCGGGAGTTGCTCTGCAGAGGGTGGAATCAATGCTAAGAGGAGAAAGTGTGGCGTCCGTGCACAAACACACTTATTTGCCAGGCGGCTAATGTGGAGCAGAAGTCGATAACATCTCCTGAAGGTGTCCTTGTTTGAGAAAGACAACATTGCAGAAACAATTTCTATCATTTTGTTTGCACTGTGGAGCAAAGTAACAGATTTTTGTTTCAACAAGTTGCAACAAAAGTTTTCCTGCTGAATGTTGTGTCTCAGACGTTCTCCCGGTCTGTTTCCATTCAGCAGAGTGAGGCTTTCATTGCACGTGGAGGTCAGTGCTGCAGCAGACTGTTGCGTCACTCACTGCCTACGTCAACGGAGCAGCAGTGAACCTGCACACACCAGGTTCTTTAAGACCTCAGGCCAGACCTGCAGACATCAGATCTGCTTGTATGTTATCAGATGGAGTAGGGAAATATAGAGTAGATATGAGGGTTCCACTTCAGCTGGCTGTTAAAGGGCAAAACTGCAGTTTCTCGGATTGAGTCGGGTTTTGTGGAGACGGTTTGTTAAGATAATTTGACAGCGAGGCCTCTCTGCCTTTGAATGAAAGAGCCCTGCTGATCAGTGACTGTTTAACTCAGAGAAATAGTGATCATGGTACTTAACAAAATTCAGCTCAATTTGCTTTCCCTCTAAATCTCTCATTTAAAATTGAGAAAGTGAAAGAAAGAAAAGTGTTGTCATGTCATCCCCAGAAATGTGTGCACCTATGATAATAATATTCAAATGTATTTTGGAAATGAAAAATATAATTTTTCTATGTTTTTGATTAAATTCATATATTTAGAGAGCCCTCATTGGACAGCTGGACAAAGTGCACATTTAAACACAGTCAAATAATAATAGTTAACTAATCAATTAATTGTCTCATTATTTTTTTGACAAGAAAAAATATCTGTCTTCTCTATCTTTTCAATTCAGACTGTTGGTTGGATAAAACAACTTTTTTTTTTTTACAGAATTAGACATTTTAAAGATCACTTGTAAATATAACTGGAGCAATCAATAATAATTATATAGTATATATAGTAACGAGGTTGATCGCACATTAAGTTGTGATCACCCTCATCACAGCACTTTCCTAAAGTGCATCATTTTCATTCATTAACCGATACATTAGTATTTTGGTGTTATATGAAGAATAGTATAACAGCAATAATTCACCACATGAAAATATGTGAAATGAAATATTCTGTTCTGTGCTGTGTTTGGACATGGAGAGTGTGTGTGTGTGTGTGTGTGTGTGTGTGTGTGTGTGTGTGTGTGTGTCTGTGTCTGTGTCTGTGTGTGTGTGTGTCAATGCCTTACTCCCTTTCACTACCCTTTGAATGCTGGAGCTGTGTTTCCATGGCAACGCTGACCCCTGGGAGTCAATGTTATTTTTTTCACACAAGTAGCCTCTTTAGAATTCCTCTCTCTCTCTCTCTCTCTCTCCTCCATCCTTCCCTCCCACTCTGTTTACCTCGCTCTACTTCTTTGTCTCCTGTTCTCTCACCTACTCACACTTCATCTCTTTCTCCTCTTTTCTCTCTGTTATGCACCAAAGAAACGAAAAGAAAAGGTCTTTATTCGTTATGTGTTCAGGTGGTGGTCGTTGATGCTGATGCTGACACACGCACACACACACACACACACACACACACACACACACACACACAGAGAGAGCACATTAGGAACTCTCTCCTTCTTGCTCTCTCTGTATTCAAACGTGGTTCAGACTTTTTCTCTGCATCTTTTCTTCGGCTCTTTTTGTCTCCCGTCCTTCTCGAGGCCACCTCTGAAAAGCAGGTCCTGGCAAAGTCCTTTTTTTAATGGCTGACCTTCTGGCTGACGTCTTTAACGTCTACTCTTGAGCTGAACAATGTCTGCGTCGTTTTTTTTATATTTTGAGTGACAAAAGAATGATTTTTTTCAACAAGCCTTTATCACATAATTCATAATTTTGTCATTGCACTGTGTAGTTTCAGTTCAAGGACGGTTGTTGTCATGCGTGTTAAATCGTAACATCACAACGTCTTTTTTTTAACTGTCCAGTCAATAAAGGAACTCACTCAGGTGCTTATATTATTTGCTAGCTAAGGCAGATTTGCTATGATTATGATGAAACTTGTGTCACAGATCAATAACCTATGATTTTTTTTTCTCTTTATTTCCTCTTTTCCTCCACCCACCCCTCCCCCTCTCACTAGGCCAAGCTGATTGTCCCCAACAGCACGGCGGGGTTAATCATTGGTAAAGGTGGAGCGACAGTCAAGGCGGTGATGGAACAGTCTGGGGCGTGGGTCCAGTTATCCCAAAAGCCAGAGGGCATCAACCTGCAGGAGCGCGTGGTCACCATCAGCGGGGAGCCCGAGCAGAACCGTAAAGCTGTGGAGATCATCGTCCAGAAGATCCAGGAGGACCCACAGAGCTCCTCCTGCCTCAATATCTCCTACTCCAACATCACAGGGCCCGTCGCCAACTCCAACCCCACCGGCTCCCCATACGCCAACTCGACCGAAGTCATGCCGGCTGCGGCAGCCGCCGCGGCCGCCACGGCCTCATCTCTGCTCGGCCAGGCCGGCCTGGCAGGGGTCGGGGCCTTCCCGACCACCATGTCCAGCCTCTCAGGCAATGACCTGCTGGCCATCACCTCTGCCCTCAACACTCTGGCCAGCTACGGCTACAACACCAACTCCCTGGGCCTGGGGCTGAACCCCGCTGCAGCCTCAGGGGTGTTAGCCGCCGTAGCAGCTAATGCTAATCCAGCAGCTGCCGCCGCAGCTAATTTATTAGCATCCTACGCCAGCGATGCATCCACCAGCGCAGCTCACCCAGCAGCCGGTCTTGGAGGGTTCTCCCTGGGATCCCTGGCTGCCGCCACAGGGGCCACCAATGGCTACTTAAGCGCTGCATCACCACTGGTGGCATCATCTCTACTGGCCACGGAGAAGCTAGCAGAAGGAGCAAAGGAAGTGGTCGAGATCGCTGTGCCAGAAAACCTGGTGGGAGCCATCTTGGGGAAAGGAGGGAAGACGCTAGTGGAGTACCAGGAGCTGACCGGTGCCAGGATCCAGATCTCCAAGAAAGGCGAGTTCATCCCCGGAACTCGGAATAGGAAGGTGACCATCACGGGTTCCCAGGCCGCCACACAGGCTGCACAGTACCTGATCAGCCAGCGAATCACCTACGAGCAGGGGGTACGCGCCACCAACCCACAGAAGGTGGGCTAAACCTGACAGCCAATAAGAAACGAGGAGGAAAAGAGGAAAAAAAAGAGTGGGGGCTTGGGGGAGGAGTATAAAAAAAGTGAGAGTGAGAATGGAAAAAGGAGAGGAGAGCAAGAATGTTGGAAGGAATCGTCCGCGCCGTTTTCTTCTGCGTGTTTTCAGTATTCTCTATTAAAAAAAAAGTTTTTGACGCGAAGCAAAAATGTGCTGAGAAGACGAGGAGGGAGAAGGAGCGAGTTATCACGCTGAAAAACCAAGAAAAAAATGTGTAAAATGTAAATAAGGTTTTATTACTTAACGTCTTGACCTTTCGGGATTTTTTATTGTTTTGTTTTATTGTTTTTTGTTTTGTTTTGTTTAGTAAATTAAGCTGTCTGTTTGTTCGTTTGTGTATTATGTGGACAAAGCTGAATGCCATGTAGACAGGCCGACTGCCTGAGAGGCTACAGGAAGTGGGGGGATGGAGGGAAGGGCAGGGGCACGGAGAGGAGGAGGGTTGGCATTTACAGGGTACAACCCTTCACCCCCCCACCCCCCCCATCCCAAAATCCCTTATGGAAACAACCCTTACCCTTCCCTCCCTCTTCAGCCCACACCCGTCACCCTCCCGTAGGGTTTTTGTTTTTCTTCTAGTTATGATTTGCCCCTATGCCCCCCCCTCCCCCAAAGCCCCTCTCACTACTTGTCCCTGCCGCTGCCCACCCCCCACCCCCCCTTTACAGGGGTTTTATAATGAGCAAGACTGCAAACTTCAGACTGGTGTATGAGGGAAGAAACATCCTTGTCTCCCCCCTGAAACTTCTCATTCACTCCCCCTCTCTAACCCTGCTATGATCTCACCTCCCTCCTCCTCCTCACCCCTTTCTGGGATATGAAGGAAGGGTGGGGTGAAACAGGGGGAGGGGTGTGGGATGGGGGGAATCAGCTGGGCGTTTCTTCATTTGCACACCCGCCCTGTACACCGGAGTACCCACAAGCAGGTGGCAGCAGGCGGGGTGTGGTGTTAGGCACGGTAATACGCCGCTCGAGCCCCCGTCAAAACCAACCCCCTCCATACGCGGCTCTAGTGTTTGAGATAGAATGCCGAGGCGCACGCTGATGACCTCACGTAGTGCGAAACCTAGAAACGACGAGAGTGATACTGTGCAAGCTGCGGCAAACACACAGGATCTATGGCATTTTTTGCAGTCTGCTGTGACCATTCTATTAATGATATTGTCATGATTATTACAATAGGAATCATCACCATCGTCATTATTTATTAATGAGTTCACCCATATAAAGCTCAGTTGTTTCTTTTTTTTTTTTTTTAATCTGTGAATTCAGGTTGACATGAATGTAAATGAGACTATTTTTGATTTGAATCTTTTTATTTTAATTTAAATGGTTTGAAGATGAATAGTAATGTCACATAGTGTAATATATGTCTTATTTAAGTCCAGTAAGAAAGCCGCCCCAGGCATTAAGATCATTACAGTGAAGGATCACTTTATATATCCAGTCAAAGAGCAGAACAGGGAACACACACACGCACACACACTGAAACAAAACACTATGATGCCATATTTGGTGCTAGAAAAGGGAATTCACCATATCTATGATGCAGACTGCAGTGAGACCTCTAGATTAGCAGGAAGATATCTGTAAACCACTCACACCACAGGCTGCAGTGCAGCGTTTTAGCAGCTATCTTAACCTCGAAACGCCTGGTCGTCATGCTCGGCTATCCTAGCTCCAAAATATCCCCGCTCTCTTACATCTGTAGTAAAATGCCAGTCACAGTTCGCCTACAATGTAAAATTGTAACTGAAATAAATAATTGAGTTTGACCTGAGACTAATTCTCAGAAGAACTACTGCTGCTGCTCAGCCTGTGGTCTTCCAAACCCTTTAGATGAACCCGAACCACAGACTTAGATCAAGCAAGAGCACTTAAGACTCACAACGTACTACTGAGAAATGCAAACACGGAGTAAGAGGAAACACTGAAACATGACGAGGGAAACGTCGTCCGTCTGGGGTCCGCTGCCGGATCTGCGAGCCTCGCTTGTAAGGCAGCGTGGAGGATATCAGTAAAAGAGATAAATAGCCTCACTGATCTTTTGCCCTTATCAAGCAACCGTTCGACTGCCGGTGAGGTAAAGGGCAGAGAGAGATTTTCAACATATGTCCAGCGAGCTCGTTGAGCTTGTTTCTGCCTCTGGCAAACTGCAGGTCTCCCATGGCAACAGGTTTTCTGCCCACTTTAGACCCAGGAGGCTGCTGAAGATGCTGTTGTTTCTTTTGTTGTTAATTTTTTGTTTGTGTTGTGTTATTTTTTTCTTTTTTTTTTTTCTTTTTACAAATCGGAGTACACTGAATTTTTTGTCTTAATGCACTGTGAAGCGAGGGAGCGGTTCTCTCGGCCTATGAGGTCAGGGATGTGTGCTGTAGATGGCATTGTGATTGGATGGTTTTTTGTATAGCAGGGAAAAAAAAAAATACACATATATGAAATATATGTAGAATGCATATGAAGAACTTCACCAGAAATGCACGTCATATCTGAATACTGAAGGAGGAGAAAGAGACTAGGTCGATGAAGAGGATCAATCAATTGAGGTCAAGAGTTGAGATCTATTAGACTCTACTTAGCTGTTGTCTTGGAGGAGTGTTTTGTAATTAGAGGGCGGGATGCTGGGGGAGTGTTAGGTGTCCAGTAGCAGATTAAAGAGACTGGAACAAATTCTAAATTCACTTTTCTATTGCAGCTGTGTCTTTTCCATAAACAGTTGAAATTGATACTGCACATCCAATGGGCAAATCCCTGGACAGATATTTAAGTCCAACAGAAGTTGAAGTGTGACGGAATGTAAAATGCCAAAAACAAGGAGGGGGTGCATTTGATTTATTGACCTAAACAGCCTGGTGAGGGGAGGGAACACCTCTATGATACTTCTGATTCTTTTTTGAAACCAATCCGACTCAAAAATCCTCCACTGCGCTATCGAATGTGTCTCTCTGTTGGAGCGCCAGTGAGGGTTTATCTCCACAGCTTGGTAAGGAGGCTTCTTTACTCCCATCTAACACCATCCACACTCTCCTCACCCTCCCTCACACCCGTCCTCAGTCCTCCAGTGCACTCCCATCCTGACACCCCCTTCTCCTCCTACCACATCGCTCCATGGGTGACTATGTCTGGTGTTACGATCAATGCATGTCTGCTGCTTGCCCTGACAAACACCACAGATCAAGTCTCTCTTCTCTTTGCCTCCTCGGGGCAGCTGAGGCTCGGAGACGCCCTGATGCACCAACATCAGAAAACAAACACACCTGCAGAGGAAGTCATAGTTGAGGCTGGCAGGGCACAGTGCACAAACACTCTTATGTGTAGTTTGGATCAGTGCATTTTTGTTTTGTGACAGTGAAGAGAAACATTTTTAATTTGGAAAACCTTGCTGCACAAACTTAAAACATACACATATCGCGAGGGAATATTTGTCATCGATGGGGTTTGACTTGATTTTGGTTTGATATTTTGTGGCAAAAACCTCATGAAGACCATATGAAGGTGATGTGCTTTTGTTCCACTGTAGGACTGTACTGTGCTGCATGCATTTAGTGAGTGATCTTCCATTTAGTTTAGTGCATGTTATGTCAGGTTTGGGCAGGTAGACGTCTGCTTGATTTTCCATTTATCAAGCAAAAATGGCAAAGACTTGCTGATCACAGCTTTTAAGGATTTGCTGTTTTTATCTGTTTCACATAATTGTAAACTGAATATGTTTGGGCTTCAGACTGTTGGTCACACAAAACAAGCTATTTTTAGACTGTTCTGAGAACTCATGACGTGCATTATTCACTATTTTTTTTAAACAATTATTCAGTCAATCAAGATTAAGAAAACTGAATCGAAAGATAATTGCAGCCTTAGTTGTGTAGTGATGTCTGTGATGCTGATTCTTAAGCATAACCAAAGTAGGTTTAGTCTATTGTCCAAGTTTTACTGCTGACTTACTCTGGATGCAGCACAGTGCATTTACAGTGGAAAAACTGCATTGCAGTTCCTGATATAGGTGCCAGTTGATTTAATTAGTACAGGACAGATTTATTTTTCATCTCATTATTTAAACCTTTGAAAGATTTTTTTTTTTTTTTTTTTGTCTTTTACACAGCGGCCAATCTCTTTAGTTATCTTAAAGTTAGGTGATGGAGATAAAAATGTGATGATTACTGGAAGCAATACACGTAGTGGCATGTTGTCTTGTCCTGTCCTTTATCCTATGTCTGCCGTAGGAGCTTTTGGATTTACCTGTAGATACTGAATAGGTTTACACGAGTAAAACATTTTTTAATTTGTGGAATATGCTGCTATTTAATAATAACTGATGTACTAAAAATACAAGGTTAAAACATATCGAAATCTGTCCTTTTAGCTGGAGAGGCTAGTCTCAAGTGGCAGTGTAATACACGCTCTGTTATAAGCTGATGATAAGTTAATAATAGTGTAATTCTAACCTGAAGTTAAACCTGTGCCAAAATAGGTCTTTACAGCGTGAAGCTGTAAATGTGTTGATTTAAATCACATTAGATAAGAGGAGACATACTTTTATATTAAGAAAATGTGAAAAGTGCCAAATGAACCATATTTATAATTTACATAGGAAGGGAGTCGTCCCAGTGACACTTTTTAAGAACTAGGTAGACTAACAGACAAAGTATAGGAGTTTGTTTAAGCCCTCTCTGTTCCTGCCACAAGAGGAGGGAACCACCGTGTTAGCCAAGTGTTAGCCAGTCCTCTGGGAGCAACCCCTCCCAGAATGCAACAGCACTATGTCTCTGGGGCTAGACGAATCAATATAGCGATAGGTTAGCATAATGATGCTAAAAAGATGTGACTAGATAGCATTCTTAAATACAGCCTTTTATAGTTACAATGAAAATGTATTTTGTGGAAATAGATGTTATCTTTTTTGCACGTCTATATTGCATGATATCAAAGTGAAGCGCGGACAAAAAAAAAAG